TTCCCTCATGTCCCGTGGCTGGACACCAAGGAGAAGAGTTCAGTACCTCCCTCTCCGCTCCCGGTGATGAGCAATGAGGTCAGCCCCTGGTTTCCTCTAAGCTGAACTAGCCTTGTATCCTTAGCTGCTCCTTGTAAGTCATGCTACCTTTTGCGGTCTTTGTTGCCCTCTTTGGACACGTTGTCATGTTTTTTATATCCTTTTGTCCTGGAGCCTGGAACTGCACACAGTACTCATGGTGAAGCTGGACCAATGCTGAGTACAGTGGGGCCATCGCTTCCTTTGGCTGGTTAACTATGTTGTGCCTAATGCACCCTGGGATAACGCTGGCCCTTTTGCCTGGCAGGGCACCCTGCTGGCTCACAGAGCCTGCCATCAACCAAAATGCCCAGATCCCTTTCTGCAGAGCTGCACTCCACTCTGTTGTCCCCCAGTCTAAATTTACATCTGGGGTTACGCTGTTTTGGGTGCAGAACTTGATATTTGTCCTTGTTAAATTTCACTTGGCTGATGATTGTTGAGCATGCTTGTCTATCAAGACCTCTCTGTCAGGCCTCTGTCCCCTTGAGGGAATCAACAGCTTCTCCTAATTCAGTGTTATCAGCAAGCTTAGTGCATGGCTGACTCCTGTGTCCAGGTCATTAGAAGCAGCTTTGAAGGGAACAGGCCCTAAAACCCTGGGGAGCACTGCTAGTGACTGACCATGAGCTTATAACCCTTTGAACCTGACCCCTCAGCCAACTGTTCTCCCACTGTGGTGTTCATGTCGAGCTGCTTGCTGAGCACTGTTTGGGATACAGTGAGAGACAGCATCAAAAGCTTTGCTAAAATTAAAAAAAAAAACTCATTTGCCTTCCCTTTGACTACTAGGTGGGTAACCTTGTTGTGAAAGATTTTTGATTATTCTTAGTAAGTCATGACTTCAAGAACTCATGCAGACTTTGATCAACAACCATTGTCTTTCAAGTCTGTTTCAGTAACTCCCAGAATAATCTCCACAGTTTTACCAGGCACCAGAGTGAGACTGATAGGCCTTATTTCTTGCTGTTGAAAATTGGGACAACATTTGCCAGCTTCCAGTTGACTGGGACCTCTCCAGATTTCCAAGGCTTTTGAAAAATAACGGAAGTCTTGGAGTAACATAACTCTTCGCTGTTCTGAGATGAATCCCTTTGAGCCCCATAGACTTTTTGTGTTCAGTCACAGCAGCATTCAAGTTCTAAGTCAGCCATGAGCTCATGACTTTCCCGGCTATGGCCATCCAGCCCAGGGCTCCATGCATCCCAGGGCCCATCATAGGTGTCGAAGGCAGCACTAAGTGTCAGTTATCACTATTTGGGGATGAGGTGACCTACCTCATCAAGTAACAGACCAATGTTTCCTTTAGCCTTCCTCCTGCTGTTAACATATTTAAAACATTTAACATCTTACCCTTCAGCTTCAGCTGAGCTTGGGCCATACAGATATGCTCCCTATAGTGGCAAGTAGCATGTCTGTCATCCTCCCATCTAGCCTGTCCTTGTTTCCAAAGTCCACACACTTTCTGCTAAGTTGCAGAAAGAGAGAGATCCCTGCTCAGCAGAGCCAGCCTTCTCCCTCAGCTGCTTGACTTCTAATACATTGACCTGGAAATTAGCTCAGCTGGTTAGAGCATGGTGCCAATACTGCCAAGGTTGTAGGTTTGATTCCCTTACAGGCCATTTACTGAAGAATTGGACTTGATGATCCTTGTGGGTCTTTTCCAACTCGGACCGTTCTGTGAACGTTATTATTGCATGCTCCTGTGCTTTTGAGAGAAAGCCCTTAGGAGGTAAGCAGCTTTTTTGTACCCCACTTTCCTCAAAAGCAGAATCTCTGGAGACCTTATTGACTACTTCCTTGAGTAGCCTAAAGTCTGCTCTCCCCAAGTCCAGGGGAGTAGCTTTACTGACAGTTTTTCTTATATCAACAAAGATTTTAAACTCAAATATTTCATGGTCATGACGGTCAAGACAGCCACCCATGAGACCATCTCTTTTTACAAACAACTCCAAGCTGAGCTCTCCTGAAGTGAAAAAGAGAGGCCTTTAGGGACCTCTTCCTCTGGTGAGGCAGAGCACAAGATAAAATCTATGGATTCTTGGTTTTAAACTTACCAGCAGTCACAGCCGTAACTAATACCCACATATTTTGACTTGCAACATCAAGGAAGCACAAATTTTTTTTAACCAGCTTTGAAAATGCATTTTCAAGTAGCCATCCTAAAGTAATGTGTCTAACAGTGCCTGTGTAAAGCAGAGCAGACTTCTCATTTCAGTGCTGCATTTATTGATGCACAATCATGAAAGTTCTTTTTAAGTCTACTTTCTCTGTAGATGGACACATTAGATTCAGGGATTTGAACACAAATGAGGTTCTCAGGAACCTGAGCTTGCTCCACAAGATGTCTTCGTTTTCAAGCTTCAGGTAGAGTTTAAGCTAATCCTTGGTATGCCTTGCTTTAGGCTGTGGCAGCTTTTTAAGAAGGAAGAGAGTTGAATCCTGGCTGTTGTAGCTACCCAGGAATTTGAAGCAAAGACAGGTGTTTCCTTAGACTAGGACTTAAACCAGGGTATCTGGCATTGCTGAGAGGTGAAACATAGTACACCTCCTTCCATGCATCTTTAGTTTTGCCCATTGCTTTCCCCACTGTCCCTTTCCTGCCTCTTCCTCTGGTGGCAGCAGAATTGCAAAGCCAGCTGGTAAATGCACACCCCTATTGGCTCACAGGGCAAGGGAAGCTAAAGTCTGGCAGATGGGAAGAGGGTCTGCTTGCAAACTGTCTTTTAGCTTCCGAATGCTTCCAAGCAAGTTTCTTGCCATATCAAATGATGGCAAGCAGTGTCCTTCCCCCCATTATATTGTGTCTCGGGTATGTGTCTTTATCCTAGGGAACTTTCTCAGCCACGTGCTCCAGCACCAGCTGCTGAACTCAAAAATGCTCTGGCATTGTTTCTGCCTTTGCTTGCTTGAGGTAGAGTTTGCAGCTGAGGAGGGGCAGAATGTCTCCTAGCATGTGCAGGACAGCATGTGGCATTCCTTGGGGCTGTGATCTGTCCCTTGTAAGTTTGCCTGTTGCCTAGGCATAGAATGAAGTTGCTTTTTCTACCAGGATGAGTTCTTTCATCTTGTAAGTATGTTATTGCTGAACCTGTGCTGTGCAGTATTGGCTTGGGGGGATGCTATTCCGTGTGTTAGCGTGCCTGAAATCACTGCAGCATCCACAAAGTTTGTCCTGTCCCTTGTACACTGTCCAACCTTGCCTTGGCTCTGTTGGCACCAGATCAAAGCAGGAGACTTTGCTGAAATTGCCTAAATCACCCCAGTGCCACTGCCTTGCTGAGGGGTCCCTGCTCCCCCCTGCCAAGTGCAGAGTGTGGGCATGTCCAGGTGACAGGGTTACAAGGATGCAGTGCCTGCTTCCAGCTGGTCTGTACAGGCTGGCAGCTGCTTCACCTTGCCAGCTCCCAGGCAGTCACCTTGCAGGCACAATGGCAATTACCACTGTATTACAGTGTGGAACAGAGTTAAGGTTCGTCCCATTCTTTCTCTTTTCTACCCTTTCCCCAGTCTGGATTTGTGCTCTAAACTGAGAGAAGAGAGCCTGGTCTTAAAATCCCCACTCCAGAGCACATTCTCTGCCGCCTAAGCCAGCTGCCACAGAAAGGTTCAGGTCTGCACTCCTGCTGTGTCTTTATCCAGACTCTCTCAGCATTCTCCCAAATGGTTCTGTGCTGACTGCCATTCTAACCACCAACCAGCACTAAGGAATGCCCTCTGGCATTCACAGAATTATAGATGTGAATCATGGTGGGAAGGGGCCTCCGGAAGCCTTTGGTCCAGGCTGCTGCTGCAAGTGGCACCTTTACCAGCACTAGGTCAGAGCAGCTGTGGCTTTGTCCATTCAAGGATTGAAAACCCACAAGCAAAATGTAGGTGCAAAAGCCACATCAGAGTTTGTCATTCCCTGACAGCCACCAACACTAAAGCCTCTCAGCAGGGAGCCACCATAATTCTGTTCAGGAGCCTGAAGGTTGCAGGAAGTCATGAAGACTAAGCTAGAGACGTTCCTGTAAGTCTTCCAGGTGAAATCAGGAGTACAACTATAGCCAAAAAGAAATTATAGGGAAAACCTGTAGGTACTCAGTAGTCAAACAAATACAAGTTTATTTACAAACAAACAAGAAAATGTGGCCATCATATCCAATTCTGGTATATTTACAGCATCCAGTTGAAGGATCAGAGTAGGAAGATCATAGGGCAGAGGGTTGGTGTTAAGGAAAGAGGAAGCTTCCTTTGAATTGCAGAGGAGCTGAGCTGAAACTGGCCAAAACCTCCATACTTTAAAAGCTGAGGCTTCAGGGAACACTAACAGGCTAAACTAACTCACAGCAGTGGGCAGAGAGGCAGCTCCTGTGATGACCTTCCTTAGCTCTTCCTCAAGAAGCTGACACAGCAGAGGTGAGTTTGGGCCTCAGTGCTCAGGGAACAAAGGAAAGAAAGGGCCTGATTTTTTTTCCTGCTAATGAATGACGAGGGAGCAGTGAGAGACTTTGCTCGCCTGCACAGGCAAGGGACCATGAAGTCGGTCAGCTGAGCTGGAAAGCAGTCTGGTTCAGAGCACTGAAAGCTGGCAGGGAAGAGAAGGGGAAGGCCTAGTTCCAGTCCAAGAGCAAGGAATGTGAAACAGGCCAGGCAGGATGTGAGCTCCAGTCCAGTCCAGGTTCAAAACCGCCACGGGGCTACCTGCAATTATCATTATTTTTTCTTTAGTGAGCCTTTCAGCTTCTTCTCTGAGGAGTGCTGTTTTCGCACCTTCTCCTCCTTTTTCCCCAAGTTCTCATAAACCGTTGACTCCTTCTGCCTGTAAGACCCGGAGAAAAATAATGGAAAAAGTGAGGAAGAGGAAAAAGCCAGCCAAGCCAGCAGGCAGACTGTTGCCAGAGGGAGGCACAGTTGGGTATCTGGTTTAGGGGAGGCTCTTACTTGGAGGGTTTTCGTGAAACCTTGGCATGTGCATTCCTCACGGCAGGGGGGTAGGAGATGTTCCCATACTCACACTCGTTTGGCTTGCCTTTCTGAGACTACAGAAGAGAAAAAACAGGCTGAGAGGAGTGCGGTCTGGGAGATGCATGTGAGGCACCATGGATGAGTTCTGGCTGTTAAACCACGCTTTGTGCCAGGACCTCCGTGGAGGTTGGTGGATTGCTGAAGTCCCCAGGCTCAGTGCATTCTGTCTGCTGCTGTCAGAGAGGAGCAGCAGGAATGCAAACACAGCCTTGTACAGGAGGGAACAGTGGAGCAACAAATCTCTGGAGGCACTGGAATTTGCCTGAGAGTGCCAAATGTCAGCTAAAGAATATTAAACAGCGGCAGCTACTGGATGCTGCCAGAGGCCACAAGGAGAGATAAAGATGCCACTTATCAGCCAGCAGGAAAAAATCCTGCAACTGCAGAATTGGGATGCGAAAGACAAAGAGGAAAGGAGAGGGCAAAGTTTTTGCTTGTCCTAGATTGAGCTTGTAACAAGACGGTACTTGGTGGAGATGGTACTTGAGCTGCTAATGTTGTCCCCTGAACTTAAAAGTCTCAAAAAAGGGGAACAGGCACTCAGACCTTGATGCACCATTGTAGTCTGTGTAGGTCCAAGTGTTAGCTTAAAGCTTGTGAAACAGAGCACTTGGGCTCAAAGACAACACCATGCAGTCCTAGGCTCACAGGGCAGTAGAGTCCCCTTTCTCACCTGGATAATTTCCAGCTTTTTCTTGGTTGCCTCTATGAACTCGCAGATGGCCATGTAGATGAACTTGTACTGGGCCTCCGTCTGCACCATCCCAGATCGCTGGGCCCTCACCATCTGGATGGTCTTCTGGATGTCAATGTCACAGTCCAGCCCTAGCAAGGAGCACCAGAAAAGCTTATGAACATGTTCACTGCCTCCTCTCTCAATTCTCTGCCAAAAGCAATTATAGAGGAGATCAATCAAGAAGTTTCTGCCTCCTTCCATATTCTGTACTCCTGTATGGACCTCCTATCTCTCCCTCCTGCTCAGCAACTTTCAAGTCTGGCTCTGGAGCAAGAGCCAAAGCTCGGGGAAGGCTACAGCCACAGTAAGTGGCAATGGTACAGAGATCCAACAGCATAACCTTCTCAGGGCTGGGGCAGGATCTCTCCCACTGATACCTGAATAATTTTCATCCCTTTGCAGCTGGACTTAAGGGCACAGCTTTACTGGGTAGGCCAGTTCACTCTGATATCCTTGGGGGTCCTCTTACCCTTGGTTGAGATTGTTTCCACTATCATATCAATGACGATGATAGTCCCAGTGCGGCCAATCCCAGCACTGCAAGGAGAGGACAAGCAGAGGTCAGAGCAAAACAGCTCCTGAAACAAAATGCATCTGCTTCTAGGGAAGGATGCAGCTCTTGTAGCAGCTGTCCAGCAATGACACAAGAGATTCAATAAGCAGAGAGTTTGGTTTGGGGGCATCAAAGAGGAAAAAGCAAATATTGGGGCTGGCATAGGCTTCAGTCACAAGCCCTGGGGTACAGGCTGGAAGCAGCAGGACAGACTTTCTATACCTCACCCTAGATAAGGGATGGAGGATGCTTCAAACTCCAGCCTGTGTACCAACCTGCAATGCACCAGAATAGGCCCTGCACCTGGGATGCTCTCTTGCTTCTGGTTTATCTGGTCGAGAAAGCTGAGGACTCCTCCTGGCTCACTGGGTACACCGTGGTCAGGCCAGCTCAGGTACTGGTAGTGCCAGATCTCACGCACAGCCTTACCCTGATAATAACAAAGCACCTCATTGATGAAACTGCAACCCAGCCCTGTCCCTGGCCTCTGTCCCAGGGAGATGCAGGTCTGAAGCCAAAGGGAATCTCTGTCTGCTGCATACTTCTTGGTGATTCCACCAGTGTGATTCCAGCCCAAACCAAGTGGGAACAGCAGCCCCAAGAATCATACAACAGCAGCATCACCACAGCACCCAACAGTTCCCAGCTTGAGACATGCAATGGCTGCTAGACTCATAGGCTCAGTGACAGCCCTTGGTCATTCACACTCACGTTATCCTTTGGACACAGACAGAGGTGCCGCAGTTTGTACTCCAACGCATCGTGCTCCGCAACATTCTCCACAAGGTAGGGACCATATTCCTTTGTGCTGCCCAGCTCTGGCCAGTAAGGCACACATTTGTTCTGTGTGGGCAGAGAGGGCAGGGTGAGGATGGGCAGAAGGCAGGAAAGAGGGAAAAAGCAGAGCAGTGTTTGAAGGGGAAAAGAGGGCACCTCTGAGACACCTACAGACTGCTACTTACCCGCCCTTTTTCTACCTCCCGCGTCGTCATCACGATGATGCGTGTGTTCTCCTGCCACACCATTTGCCAGAAGTCATTGACTGTGGCTTCCAGGCAGCCCTGGCTTGCGATGTAGGTCTTGGTGCACTCATCTGGGCTGATCATGGTGTTCTGATTGAGGACAGGAAAAGGTCAAGAGGGCTGCAGGAGCAGGCAGGCCTTCTCCCACTCTTGGGCATACAGTCATATTTTATGAGTCTCACCTTGACATAGTTGGCATTGATATAGTCCGATCCAGGTATATTTGGGTCCCTTCCTTTGAGGATGACTCTGGAGTGATCAACTGGGGTGCAGTGAAAGAATAAACAGTACAATGAGAAACTCTGTGTGCAGTCACAAGAAGCTCTTTCACTGGCCCACACCCCTCATTCATGCTTCCCAGTGCATGCAGCATGCCCTCTATCTTCACCTGTCCCTTTCTGGGGTCAGACTAACCTCACTCCATCTTCCCATCTCTCTGCCCCTATCATGGACCATCGGAAGCTAATGAGTCTAAAGCAACCTTCCCTGCTTCCTTCAAGGACATGAAAAGGCTGTGACCTCTCTCATCATCTCAGAAATCCTCAATGCTGCACACCTCATAATCTGCTCTGGAGGACAGAGCAGGCTGAGGCAGGGCCAGCGATGCCTTGGACATTGCCTATCTGCATGTATTTGTGTTTTTTTTTTTTTTTTACAGTGGAGAAGAAAGACTCACAGGGCAAGATGTTCTTGTATCGGTTCTTGCTCTTGTTTTCAGGTCTCTGACCCTCATGACGGTCAAACAGGTGTTTGGCTTCCTGTTTTTGCAAACTCTGAGAGCAGAAGAAAGAATAGTCATGGCAAGATCACAATACATGACAGGGGAGGTGGGCACTTGGAGGAGACGTGGTGGTTCTGAGGACACATGGACGTGTTTGTGGGGGAGTAGAGAAGTGAAAAGCAAACCCAGACTTGAAAAGTCCAAAATCTGTGCCCTTGCTGTCTTGGTGAGTCATTCTCCCAATCCTGAAAAAGCACATTTCTACCTCACTGGGTTCACTTAAAGATGACATTCACTGCCCAGGAGAACAGGTTCCAAACAGACACTTCTTTCAGAGATAAATTGACAAGACATATGAGAAGTCTGTGTATAGGAAGAAATTGAGGATGGAGAATGAGGTGATGTACTGGGAATTCACAAAAAGACAAATAATGTCCCCCAGCAGTTTCTTACATCAAATTCCTCCCAGAATCCAGCCTTGGATGTCTCCTCAGATAGACTCTTCTTGTTCAGTTCCTGCACTCTATTCTCAATGTCAGCAGCATTCACCCTTGTAGCATAGTAGGGCTGGGGATGGGAAAACACAGTGGGTTAGCATGTGACAGAAAGAGAGAGAGAGAAAGAGAGAGAGAGAAAGAGAGAGAGAGAAAGAGAGAGAGAGAGAGAGAAAGAGAGAGAGAGAAAGACAGAAAGACAGAGAGAGAAAGAGAGAGAAAGACAGAGAGAGAAAGAGAGAGAGAGAGAAAGACAGAGAGAGAAAGAGAGAGAGAGAAAGACAGAGAGAGAAAGACAGAGAGAGAAAGACAGAGAGAGAAAGAGAGAGAGAGAGAAAGACAGAGAGAGAAAGAGAGAGCGAGAGAGATGGTGCTGGAGAGCAAAGTCTCCTGTGTGTGCTGTGGAGAAAAGAAGGAAAGGAACACAAAGCAGAAACAAACAGCAAGTCAATCCCTCCAAAGGATCCCTGAAAACAGGAAGCTAGATTTACCTGCTTCAGGTACACAAAGGTGCCAGACATCTCTTCAATTCCAATCTTCTTGAAGTGCTCAACCAGATCTGCCAAGCTGTCAAACATTTCTGCACCTCCAACTGTGTAGCGTCCATTCTACATGGAGGAAGAATATGTAGCGTCTCACTCATAACATTCATAGAATCATGGAATGGTTTGGATTGGAAGGGATCTTAAAAGTCATCTATTTCCAACCCTCCTGCCATGGGCAGGGACACCTTCCATTAAACCAGGTTACTCAGACCCCCATCCAGCCTGGCCTTGAACACTTCCAGGAATGGGGCATCCTCAGTCTCTCTAGGCAACCTGTTCCAGTGCCTCACAGTAAAGAATTTCTTCCTAATATTTAATCCAAACCCACCTTCTTTCTTTTTGAAGCCATTCCCCCTTGTCCTATCACTCCATGCCCTTATAAAAACTCCCTCTCTGGCTTACTCACAATTCCCCTTTATGTACTGGAAGGGTGCTGTAAGGTTTCCCCAGAGCCTTCTCTTCTCCAGGCAAAACAGCCCCAACTCTCTTAACCTGTCCTACAGACAAAGCTGCTAATGCTCAGGGAAAAGGCAGTGCTAGGGTGTAAAGCCATGGGCACCAGCCTGCACCACCTAGAAAAGCACTTCCTCTGACAGGGAAGTCAAATGCAAGTTTGCCCTGAGAACACAGAATTCACAGCATGACAAACTAACTGTACTCTCACTGGATGGAAGCCCAGAGAAGGTATATTGCATTCAAATCTCATTTAAGGTCAGTTGCTTTTTGGCCTTGAAATCTCTTCCTCCCACATAAAAGAAATAGGAGAACTTGTGACAGCCAGGTTGGCAACATTCATCAGACTAAGTATGGAGGCCCTGCAGATACCCCTTCTTCCTGCTCCAAGCACTTCTAACTCTTTTGATGAACTCATAATTAGGATACGAATCCTCCTCTCTCTTTTCCCACAGACTCCCTTTGTACCAGAGTTCCTGGTCACACTGAGCCCTGCCTCCTCCTGTGACTGAGCACCCAGCCCATGCTCACCCAGGCTGGGGCGAGGACACAAGGACCCCGCAAAAGAACAGCACTTTGATCCAAATTAAGAAACACTGCTAGTGGTAATCAAGCTGACAGGGCACATACTTTTGAGGACATGATCAGGAGAGGTCTCTTCCATTCCCCCTCCTCTTGCCCTCCCACTGCTCACCTCACACATGATCTTGATGTGCGTGACTTTGAGCCGGGCCCCAGAGGCACTGGTTGCCCCAGCTGGTGGAGCGTCAGACCCAGGTTTAGGCTGGTCAGTGAGGACAGACAAGACAAAATCCCCGGGTTTGCTGAGGCTCTCCCGCACCAAGAACGTCCAAGGGGTGGCTTTGGCCTGGAGAAGTGACTCGGCTGCAGGACCTGACAGATGCCCGTGGTACCACCTAGTTAAAACAAGAGGAGGGAGGTGGAGATGCAGTAAGTGGATGGCCTTGAGCTGATGAATGAAGGAGAGCAACAGTGGGAAAGGGTGAGAGAGGAAGAAAGGAAGGGGGAAACAGAGAGGAAGGAATGAGAGAAAGAAGAAAAATCAAAGGAGGAGCAGGATCTTGGGGACAGTAGATGAGACAGAAAGTAGAGAGCTGGCAAGAAGAGGACAGGGCAAGGGATGAGGTGGAAGCAGAAGGGCCCCAGGGAGCAGAATGCTGGAACCAGAAGACACAGTGGGAAAGCACCATGTGTGATCCAGTGTGTGACAAACACAAGGGGAAGAGCAGTCTGTGGATTTCAGCACCTCCCAGTACTACTGGGATTCTAGCATTACTGCAGCAAGATGCTTTGGAAACTCAAACACCAGGGAAAAAAAATAACTCCCCACTGAGTCAGAAAATCTCCCATCAGATTTAACAGCACCCAGATGGTTGTGTTGAGATCAGACCCATCAAAGACCCATTCCAGTGACTCCTCTTTCTGCAACTCAATCACCTCTTCAATCAAAGAATAATTCCCAATCTCTGGGCACATCACACTGCAGCAATCAACCTAACCACAGGACTGAGCACCAGCAGCCACCTGGAGCCCCTTTTCTGCTCCTGCTGTTTACACCGTTAATCTGTATGCACATTCCTGTCCTCAGTGCAAACACCCAGTCAGCATCTCCTTCTCTCCTCCCAGCACAAGGTGAGGAGCATCCCCATCTGACTGAGGTGCTCTCTGCCTTGCGGCAGGACTGGACCCAGGGCACAGAGGGACACAGAGTGGTGCAAATGGCACAGCTGCTGCCAAGCCCCTGCCCACCTACAAAAGATCTCTGGGAGGGTGTGTGCCTGCCCAGTGGGATCTCACTGAACTGAGAGGTGCCGGTGAAAGTGAAGGTCACCAGAAGCAGTCTGGGACATGGGACAACCCCTCTTCCCACTGCTGGGCTCTTGGCTCTGCAGAAACTCCAGATGCGATCCAGGTTGTCTCTGTACAGGTCCTCTAGTTCTTCATGCCTGTCCCAAGCTCCGCAGTCTCTTTGAACCACATCAGAAGTTCTGGGGGGCACTACTGAGCTGCCAAGCAGAGACGTGGAAGGCCACGTTCACTGCAGCACTGTCCTGCTTCTACAAAACCCATGTGAAAACTGGAGCTAGAGATCCAAATTATAGAAAGTTGAAAGCTCTGGGGTGCTCTGGGCACTGAGAAGTGTTCTGAATCATCCCACTCCTCCTGATACACAATTTCTGGTGGAGCCTTTCCTGGGTCTGAACCCATCACAGCCCAAGTGCCAGCACAGCCCTGGCACTCCTACCATGGCCCCTTCACTCCTTCCCAGCTTGGTTTCAGGGAGGGGACTTAGGCCCTTCTCCTTCAGCAGGGATGAACCAGTTTGAAACAGTCCCCTCCAGTCCTGGAACATCCCCATCCCCAGCTGCAGCGTGTGCTGGGCCCTGTGTTCAGGGGGCTTTGTAGCGTGGCTGCTATGCCAGCCAAACTTCATGATCACCACAGCTATGTTTTGGCCACCATCCCTGGGAAACAGCATTTCAAAAGCAGGTAGCTGTTGCATCAGGTTGACTTGCACTGTCCCTGCCACTTCCTCTCACTGCAGGTACCTCAACAAGCACCAGCCACGCTCCCCGTGTCACTGTGTCCACTGCCACCAATGCCAAGCCAGTGTTTCAGGGCTGTGGGAGCAGGTTTGCTGCCCACGGAGCAGCTAGCAGAGAAGGCCTGGATTGGTACTGGTGACCTTCACACTGTAAGGAGGCTATCTGTTCCCACGAACCATGCCTCAGTAACAGAAGCAGCCAGGGCATTAATTCACCCCTGGATCTGGTCAGAGATCTGGTCATATTGCTCTACACAACATCTAAGAACCATTCTGACAGCGAGAGGTGGCACACAGTTAGCAGCCTTGGCAAGTAATTGCTGTTGATCCTCGCCCTATGCACTGAAAGAAGTAGCTGGTGACCGGCAGTCATTAATTTCTGAACCTCCTTCCAAAGAAGTGTTCAGCTACCATGTGCTCAGACGCCACCTGGGAATCAGCTGACCTCTCCTGCCCCTCAGAGAGGTTTCTAGGCCTTCCCTCCACAGGTAGGATGGAGTTAATGGGTCCCATTACCCCCTCCCTTCCCCCAGCATAGCCCAGCTCTTCAAAGCCACGTGATGGAAAATCACTTGGGGAGAGAGTGAGAGGAGCTTTCGTAAGAGCCTGGTGGTGGGGGGGGGTGTTAAGTTTCCAACCGCAGAGAGGAAGGGAGGGAACTGCAGGGCCACAATGCAATGGCCTTGACTGTAGAAGACAGCCAGCAGCAGACCTGGCCCCTCTGCAGCCAGAGCAAGCTGGGGTGTACGCTGATGCTTCGCCCAGGGCATCTCTGCTCTCAGCCTCCAGGTGTCTGAGGAGGACCTGCCTGAGGAGGACTTGCCCACCCCAGAGCAGGGCATGACAGCTCCCCGAGCTGCATCAAAGAGCCTAAAAGCAAAATGCAAGGGCAAAACCACCTGATTTGATTTAGGAACTTTGTATCAGAGACACATGCAAAGTGAGGACAGGAAGGAGACTAAGCAGGCTAGGAATAGCAAGGGAACATGGTCCTGCTCTCAGCTACGTGAGTCACCCAGGCCCAGAATAACCAAGGAGGTTTGGTGCAAGACTGAGAGCTTCCCTATAACATGTGACTCTACAGACTGCTGCAGACCCACACCTAAGACCACAACCTTTGTTTTTAGGAACAGTGTATAAATAGCAAAGGCAACCGGAAACCAGAAGTAAAAATAGAGCCCTCTTAGGTCTGCTGTGATGGGTCAAGGTATAGCCTGGTATTCCCAGGGATGCTTCCCCCGTGGACGCACAGGAAGCAGGTGACACTTTTTGCAGGACTTTCCCTAGGGATGCAGGCAGGGCAGAAAGAAGGCCACGAAACACAGAGGAGGTCACACCACAGACACACACTGCTTTGCTGTCCCCATACCTCTCTGTCGTGGGGTCGGAACAGTTGAGGGGGTATCGCAAGTCGATGACTGTTCCATCTTTGTCCTGCAACGAGCCCTGTTGCTGTGTGTAATACTCCACCAGTTCGGACAAGGTAGCGAACTTCTCCCCTCCATACAGGTCATAGAAATCCCCAGTATTCTGGATGCGGATGTGGGTTACCTGATCACCAACCCTGTGGAATAAAGCACAAAGCAGTCCAATGAGGTGGTTGGAAAAGAGGCAGAAAGTGTTCTGCACTACCTCCTGCCATGGAGCCAGAGCAAACCATCCCCATGAAAGATGACTGGAAAGAGAAGCTCCTGGTGCAACTTGAAGGAGGGTCTAGAAGATGCTTGGAAGCTCAGCTTGGAAAGAACTCAAAGGAATACAGACAGGATGAAGAAGATGCCACGTGACATGTGAGGATCTCAGCAATCTGTGCACATAACACTGAAAAGACAGAACTTGGTGTCCAAGTTACCTACCGCACTGAAAGGGAAAAATCACCCTGATTCTTCCGACTGGGTCTGGCCAGAAAGCTCCCATGGACACCCCGTCCCTTCAGTAAGGCTTCAGCTTCCAGCCCACTCAGGTCACGGTGAAACCACCTATCAGAGAAGATAAAAGCAAGACCAAGTGAATAAAAATGGCCAGATGCTACTGTGGAGACCTGTGGGCTGAAGAATGGTCTCTGGTCGGCATCCCTAGGTGAGAGCCAGAAGCAGCATCCCTTCTTACTTGATACCTCCCCCAGCCTATGGAAGCTTCCTATTAGAGAAACAGCTTCCAAGGTGAACCCCACTCTGATTTGTCCTACTTCTCTGGTCCCCCTCCTTACACACACATACTTTTCAGACCCTCTTACCTCACCATTGTGGAGGGTGAAAGAAGAGGGGGCCAAGTGGCTGCCACCAAAGAAAGTCAAAAAACACAGAGGAAAAATCAGTTTGTGCTGGCAAGAAAAGGGAAGTCGGAGGTCTCTGCCGGAGCACCCAACGCCAAGCTGTTCCTGTGCCTCTTGGGTGCTGGCCATGTATCTCTCCTGGAGTCTACTGTCCCTCCATTCAGACTCTCTCCATCCACGATTTTCTGGGTAGGTGCCTTGATGTGTGGCCCTCTGTGCAGTGCTCTTGGACACAGGCAGGTGCAAGCCCGTGCGCAGCTGGGCACGCGCGGCTCCAGGAACAGGAAGTGCTCTGAGCCATCAACTCCCCAGCCCCAAGCTGCTTTGCACACACTTCTGCTTCTCCTTTCGTGTCTTTCCCCCCCGGTCCCCCCTATTATTTTTGGGCCTCTGTCTTTTTGCACACTAGGGCTGACTCTCTGCATGCACTTTGGCCCTAGCCATGCTCAAAAAATTCAGTTCTGCACGTCCTCTGTTCCCTTTCTTCCCCAGAATGCCAGTAAGTGACATGAGCAGTCCCAAATATCCTATATGCTCTGTACAGGCACAAAGGGGAATCTGTGCAAACCCAGAGCCGCAGACTTGGAGGTCCAGGTTAGTGCTCCGAACACAGCGGTACCTCCCTGAAACCATCCTGACCTGGGATGGCACTGACACAAGCAGCGGTAGCTCAAAAGGGATGGCGTGGGAAGGAGGTGGTGGTAAAGCTGCCCAGAAAGGTAGGCAGTGACCAGGACAAACAGCTACTACCTACAGTGAGCCCACACAAGCACTGAGAGAGCTTAGTCGAGAACCTTTAAGATCCCAGCACAGCCAAAGCTGACAACCTGGACAACTAGGCAGAAAGAAGGAAAACTAGCCATTCTAGTTACCTAGCTATTTCCAGCTACGGCCCATGGCTGCTCTGTCCATAGCACTGGTTTCGAGGTCTGCAGGTCTCACAAAAGACTAGGAGCTAAGCAATGACCTAAGAGGGCAATCAAGCTGTCAAAGGAGCCTGACTTTTCCCTGTGGCAATCTCAGCTACACTATGTGGGCAGCAGGAATGGCAAGAGCCTTGCTCATTTCAAGTACCAGCAGCTGCAGACTTCCCAGCACACCCACCAGACTGGGAAATCCTGTAAAAAGCTGAACAGGCTGTTAACTCCGACCTAGACAAAAACTTGTGGCCAAGACAGAAACTAACAACAAAGGGAAGTACAGGAGAGATGAGTGGGAAGCTAAACTTCATTGCTAGAAAGGCAACCCAGGCACCTACAACAGCTTCCTTTGAAATGCTTCAGTTTCACACACATGACCAGCCATGAGATGCAGGGATCCAGCTGTACTGATTTAAAACTGATACAAAAAAAAAAAACCCAAGGAGACTTTAAAGGCACAGAGACCTGTGGCTCAAGGAAACAGCTTCTACACAAAGCTGCAGAAGCTGCACTCGAATCAGAGACAGTGCAGCACTGGCACAGGAAAGTATTGTGCAGAGGTAGGAGAGAAATGGCAGGAACTTCTGGAGAGAAATTGGGCAGAAGTCCCAAAAGAGAATTCCTGATTATTAGAGTATGTTGGGTCAATATGAAGCTAAGGCAGATGAAAAATAAAGCCTAGGCATCCTCACACCTTATGAACTGACTGAAGGAGAAAATCTGTCTGAGGAACTGAACATCAGTTGGACTCAGAAACAGGGAAAGAACAAACCAGCAAAGAGCCCAGATCAGAGTAGAAAGGGTGAGTTAGCAAGAAACCCATGTAAATCAGTATCCCCTAGTAGGACAAGCCACAGGGTGCAGTGTAACCCCGGTCAGTCTTTGTGTGGACAAAAATCCCGTTTCACATAATTTACAGGCTGAGTTTATGCTTCTGGTTGCTTGCAGCTCAGGAAAGGAATGGATGCACACAGCTGCCTTGGTGTCTTTGACCTGGGCCATCTAATTAAAACTATCAGGGAGGAGCTCCTGCCACCAAGGGAGGGAAATATCACTGTAGAGAAGGTTGGTATCTTTGAGGTTGCTCTCCCAAATAAATGTGGCACAGAACAGCTGACTACAATTGAGCCACTAAAATACTTTCTTAATATAATTAACATGTCAAGAGATTTCAGCAAAGAGACTACTCTTACACTGTTGTTTGTCTTTCAGTACAACACAGGTGTTAGAACCTCATCTTGTAAATCCCTCATGGAGCCAAGGCACAGCTAGTGCAGGAACAAATTTACAGGAGAAGATAAATGAAATAGCTAAGTAAAAAAGACATCCACATCTGGACTGCTGTAAACAAAGAGCCTAGAGAGCAGCAAAGATGGAGGAAGCTAGCTTTATTCAGCTTGGAGAAAAGATGCTTAAGGAGGGATTTAGCAGCTGTCTGAGACTACCTAAAAGGGGTTGGAGAGGTTTAGAGGTGAGTCAGATTCTTCTTTGTGGGACACAGCAAAAGGACAAGAGACATAACTTGCAGCAAGGGAAATTCTGAGTACGTATCAGGAAAAATTGCCCACGTGCTCCCCCCCAAGGACAGTTCAGCACTTGCCAGAAGTGCCCAGAACAGCTGAGGAACCTCCACTCTGAAAGATGTTCAGGATTCACCGAAGCAAGGCTCTGAGCAACTTGACTTAGGTCTGTTGTGATCAGGGGGCTGGACTATGCGATCCAGAGGTCAAAATTGTTGTTAAATAATAGATAGGTTATATATATAAATATAGGTTATATAAATATAGGTTATATAGAGAATTTATTTTTCCCTAAACCTCTATTTGCAGCTATTTGTAGAGTCAACACTCAAATCCATAACAAATTAACAAATGTAGCACCCTTTGGCAAGGAGTTCTACTGCTCAGCTAGAGAAACACCCCCTCCTTTGACCTGCTTATAACCTGCTCCCTGCCTCATTTTTATTAACATCTGGTTTTTAAAAAGAAACAAAAATCGATGATTGATTCCTGTCCCCCCCACATGCCCCCCGCCCCACTCCAAACTGCTCATGGAAACAGACCCGTAACATCCGTATCCATCCTCAGCTCTTCACCAGGCTGAAGACTCAAGCCCTGCTAAGGTGTTCTTTGTACAGAACTATTCCACACCTCTGATTATCTTTGCTGTCCCTCTCCGAGATGTCTCCAACTCTGGTTCCTTGTTTTGGAAATAAGGGTGACGGAGGGCACAGAACTGTGGCATTCAAGATGCTGCTGAGTCATGGATAGCGATGAATTCTGATGTTCACCACACCCAAGTATAAAGCCAACATCTGCAGGGTCTTATATATACATATATATATAATCAAAGTTTCACTCTACAGAGGTTACAACTAGTTCACATTTTATATGTAAATTTTGAATTATTTTTCTGCATGAACAATGTTTTACATAGGCCTATATGGAATTTTGCCTGCTGTTCCATTGCCCACTTGTTCACCATCATAAGGTCCTTCTGCAATTATTCAGTCAGCTCCCACTCTACTATCCTCACTAACTTTCTACCATCACCCAATTTTCTCACCTCACCAAGCTGTATTCCCAGGTCACTTGGGAATATACTGAACAGTGTATATTTCAGGTTAGGCCTCTGTGATCTGACCACTGATGACTTCCCTTTGCTGTAAAAATGGGATGTTAATTTCCATCTTCTATTTCCTATTTTCTATTAATTCTTTACCTAAGAAAACCCTAAACTTCTTTTTTATGCCAGGGTTTCAGCTTTATTTAAAGACTTTGATGAGAAAATCTTGTTAAATTTTTTAAACCCAAGGAAATTGGCCAGACCTGCCTTATCCACAAGCTTGCTAGGTCCCTCAATAACTTCCAGTTTTACAGGACAGGATTTGCCTTTACAAAAGCAGATGCAGTCTCTTCCTTAAGTATCCCATTCATTGCTTTCTCTGTTATAACATCTACCCTCTTGCTCAGATGATGACTTTATTGTTCCATGCTTCCCTTGCATTTGGGGGAATCTGATTTGGAGCCCTTTTTGAAAATGAGCATGGCATTTGTTACTTTTAATTCTCAGCCCTGAGATGATTTCAGACAGGTTTTGCTGTTCTGCACAGAACTACGTTCTAGTTCAGTCTAGTTAGTGCAGAGTGAAGGCCATTTGGGCTTAGGGAACAGACCCTCTTCCTATGACTGGCTGAAGCCAGATGCTCTCTGTTAGGGGCTATGGGACCCCAGGACAGCGCTGGACCAGCAAGGTTGCCCAAATCCTTACCACAGAGTAATGCTAGAGCGAATCCCATTTCCTGACACCCTGCAACTGCAGTCTCCAGAGCAGAGCACCTGTTTGGACTGACCAAGAAGGTTGTATGTCCTCCTGTTTCATAAAGGGCTAGGAAGATTGTAGCAAATCAAGAAATAACAAGGATTTAAAAGGTTAGACATCTGAGCTCTCTCTGTGTCCAGTACACTGAGAGATGCTGCAGCTGTGGCAGAGGAACTGCAAACCCCTTACCAAAGTGAGAAGGAGCAACAGTAACAGCAATAACAATCTAAAACACTGGGAGCTCCAGTTCTCTGGCTATTAGAAGGTGGGTTTTTTTTCCTTCTATGCCTAATTCCTAGTGCCAGTATTTTTATTTTTCTCACCAACAACTCTTGTTTTATAGCCCTAACTAGCATTCATAGCACTCACCCACGGGATGGCATCAGGGTCTTGTCTCTCAGATCCCCACTGATGGAGGACTGACAGGAGCTGGCAGAGGAAGTACCACAACCCTCAACCCACGGGGTCCTACTAAAAAAAATAAAGCAAGATTGGAATTACCAGGACAGTATCTTGAGATGGATTTGGGAGAGAAATCAAAGATCTTAGTAGTGGAGGGGTGGACTCGCACCCTCCCGACAGGGCTGGATGTTCATGGCGGTGAGTGCCAGGGCTCTGGAGCAGCAGCTGGCAGTGCTTGGGGGCTGCGGCACCTCCCGTGACTCACCTGATCCACACAGGCAGAGTCCTGAACTCCGCCTGTTCCTAGGCGGACTGAGAAGAAGGTAGCTCCAGGTCAGGCAAACCTCAGGCCTCAAGCAGAGGGCTTAATTGTCACTATTTGCAAAGTGCTTCCTGGACTGCAGTTAATGAATAATCAGAGGGGTGGGGGAAGGCCAAGGCCAAGCTGGGAGAGGTAGATGGAGACGGAAGGGACCGACTGCTCTTCCTGCCTCCTATCCACTGAGCTCACGCCCTCCTTGGCTACATTCCTGCCAGGTTTGTAACCGAAAGGCACAGAAGCAGCTCTCTCATACCCGGCTCGCAGCTCCCTGCTCTCCCAGGCTGGCTCCTTCACCCCCAGCTCTGCCACTCTCCTCAAAGACCTCAACTCTTCAAAGGTCAATGGGCACATGGGGCAGGAGGCTACAAACAGACATACCTTATGTCCCTCCATTTGAATCGCACTGGAAACACACAGTGTCACACTGGAGAGAGGCTACTCCGCGAGGTTGATCCCTCTGCAGTCCCAAAAAATGTGAGGTACGATTTTATGTTGTTTATGTTGTTCTAATCCAGGCTGCAGCCAAATGGGGCAAGCCCAGCCCTCCCACGCTCTGCCGCTCCCTGCTGCGTCTCTCTGCTGCCTTTTTCACTAGGGATTGCACATTCAGCCAGAAAACAAGGCAGCCACAGACACCAGAGGCAGGAGTAAGTTAGCACCGACCCTGCTGGGGACAGCAGGCTCAGTGGCATCAACAGCACTTGACCGAGCTTAGTGACACGTTACCTAATATGTTTCAACCAACATATTTGTAAATGCTAGTTCTTAAGGCCTAGCACCTCCTACTAAAGAAAAAAAACAAAGTCTCTCTGATAGGGCTTCAGACTAAGGCTCTGCCCAAACCTTTTGGCAGAAGGTAATGCATACTGGGCCTTCTAGAACAGGAGCACATGTGTCATGAGGCAGGCACTGCTGCACCTGTACCTGCCCCTGCCCCTGCCCCAGGGAGCAGCACCCGCGGCTGGGGACCACCCCTGAGCTCACGGTCATTCATAGAACACGGGCATTTTCAACACACGTTTTATTCACGAGCAGACACACGAGCAGGCACGAAGTATATCGTTCCCTCCAGGTCGGCATCTCCCTTGTTCGAGCGCTCCATTCCCAGGGCTGACAGGACTGCACCTTGGGAAGGACGGCACCCGCCGGAGCAGCGGGAGAGCTCCGCGGGCTCAGGAAGCGGCAACTCCGCCGGTCCCGGCCCCGTGCGGCGGCAGAGTCATGGGCGGCAGGAACATGGCCTTGAGTTTGCCCGACATGCTGGCGATCTCCGGGTCCTGCGACTCGTAGGACTTTATCAGCCGGGCGAACTTCAGGACCCCTGCAAGGAGAAGGGGGTGGGCAGGGGGCCCTCGCTGCCCCGGCGGGCCCGGAGCTCCCCGCCCGGCAGGGGCACAACCCACCTTCGCCGTCGCTGCTGAAGCCGTAGGCCTTGATCACGTCTTGCTGGATCTGGGTGGCCACGGGCAGCAGGAACTGCAGCATCTTGCCCATGTCGTTGCAGGCGTTGTCCCGAGCCTCCTCCATGCGCTGCGCGTTTTCGGGCGCCCCGAACGCCTTGATCACCTCCGCCAGCACAGCTGCGGGACACGGAGAGATGGGCACTCAGCCGCCTGTCATCCCCCCGCACTCACCGCCGCGGGACATGGGCGCTCAGCCACCCGGGAGGTGCGGGGATGGAGATGAGAGAACGGAGCGACCCTGCCGCACTCACCCTTCGCCTGCTCGGCGCTCAGGGCGGCCGGGCCCGCGGGCTGCGCGGACGCCGCCATGGGGCGCGGCGGGGCGGCCGCGGCTCCCGACCCGCACCGACAGACGACCACACCGCCCCCGTGCGCGCCTGCGCCGGCCCGCCCCTCTCTGTCATTGCACTGGTGGGTGTGGCGGCTTCCCACGAGCGCGGGAAACCTGCTGGACAAATTCTAAAAGAGCTGAAATCACTGGCAGGAACACTCCCAGCGCCGGGCTCCATTCCGCGCCGACCTGCCCCGATGTGAGGGCGAGAAAAACTTCTTCCCGACGCTGTCCCTTCCGGCGTTCCCCGGCCCCGCTACCCCCGCCCGCCCCTCCCCGCGCTCACACCGGCGCCCACCGCCGCCGACAAACGAGCCCGGCCGAGCCGGTCGGGCCGTATGCAAATCGGCAGCTTCCCATTGGCGCTGAGGTGCTTAAGCCCGCCCCTTCAGGCGAAGGGGGCGTGGCTCCCGCTCACCGGCTCCTCCGCGACTTTCCCCGCTCCCAGCCCTTCCCACTTTTCACCGAGAATGCTTATGCTACTGCCCTTCCCCTCATGGCCCCAGGGAAAAGAAATGAACACACTGGAGTCCCGTTTCTGGAAGGGTTTTTTTTGTCCTTTTTTTTTTTTTTTTTTTTGCCTTTTTGTAAGAGCTTCATATATATATTTATATATATAAATTATTAGAATGTGTGTCGGTGCTCGGGAGTGCGTGGGGAACGTAGTTTGGGTGTTTGGTTTTGCTTTTTTTTTCCATAGCTGGGTTGTTGGTTGGTTTTCCTTTTAATGGTTAAGTAAATATATATATATATATGGGGGACCAATTGAGAGATACAACTGTGAAATCAGAACACGCACGCGGGGGCAAGGGAGTCACAAGTTGCTACATAAAACTGCCACGTCTAATAGGATGTGCATGAGTTAAAGTACATCAATTAGGATGGGTGAGGGGAAAGGGGCAGCTGCCCTCTTACAGTCCCAGGACTCAGTGTCACTGCTCAGCCACGTCATCTCTCCCCATGGGGCTCAGAGGGGTCGCGGTGGTGACCACAGTCTTGAAAAGTGTCCTGGTGCTTTGCACCTCGTGGCCATGCCCATTCCCGTCAGCCACGGGAAAGCATAGCCACCATCCTGCAAACAGTCTTGCGGTGCTTTGCACCCCGATGGCTGGGACCAGACCCTCAGCAGGTAGGAGCGGCCACTCAGGAAGGGGTCCTGTAACGCTTTGTTTGCATCTGAAGGGGTTTGGAGAATGGGAAGCTGCTCTGGCTAATCTGAAAAAGTTTCACGTTGCTCCTCTGTATCGCTAAGCAGTATCTTACACCTAAAGGAGGGGGTGGGGTGTTGAGGAGGCATCTTGAAAAAAGGCTCTGTTGGGTTTGGAGTTACTTCTTGGCTGCACCTCATCCTCACAGAAGTAGAAAAGGCAGTAGCATCCTGTACATGAAGTCCTGCAATGCTCTGCACTTTTTATTTAATGCAACTGTTACCCCAAAACAAAGGATGGAGCTGCTGCCACCCTGAATACGTCAGTCTTTGTCTTTCTGAGCTCTGTGCAATGCTGATTCTCTTTTCTTCAGAGCTCAGATGAAATCACGTACCGATTGTCCATTAAGGTGTTTCAGTCCCTCCCCATTTCCTCTCCTCCACTTTATGTTCCCAGGATGCCACTCTGTACTTTTTGTCCATCTCCTCTTGTACTCTTACCGCACGGTGGGATCAGGATGTGCCACTCTGCAGCTTCCCCTCCCCCAGGATTTGGTTGATTGATTGTTCCTCTTAAGAGAAAGACACGATGATGTCACATTGACAGCAGAAGTCCATTTAAAGGGGTTTGTCACTTTCCTTCTTCAGGTGGCTAGGATAAAAAAGAAGAATGAGGTGATTGTGAAAGGGGAAAAGACAATTTATTACGTCCTCCTGCCTCTATTAGTCTAGACCCATATGACACTGCTGGTATGCAAAGTTTGGCAAATCCTTGAAGTAGGAGATGCTATTGGAAAGGTACAGCACTGCACCTCTCTTTCCCAGTGTGCCTCCTCATGCACTTGTGAAAGCCTCATCTTGGCAAAAGCATCAAGCCCTTGCAAATGTTTTGTATTCTGGCAGGGGTATTGGTTAATCATAACTGCATTTAGCATGTGTGAAACACATAAAGTTCTCTCCCCTTCCAGAGGTGAGGAGCTGAAACCCCACACACGATTATCCACTGAATACCCATTTGCCAAGAATGACCTTCCTGGTGGCCAGCCTACAGCTGTTCCCTGTGGCAAGGCAAGGCATCCCTGCTCCCAGGTGTGTGCCCACCACCTCCACCAGCCCCAGGCCAGGCCAGACCTGGAGGCGGACATGTGAGGCGAGAGCAGGCCCACCACGCACCTGTAGTAATCCTCCTGCGTCGGCAGCGGCATGCCGTGCAGGGGGTGATGGGCGTGAAGCCACTGCTGCTGCTCCAGGGCCAGGCGCTGCAGCTCGGCCGACTGCGCGTGCATGGCCTGCAGCTGGTGTGCCGCTGACATGGGCGCGGAGAGAGAGCCTGGCAGGTCCCTGTAGGGGGCAGCTGCACCCGAAACAGAGAAGAAACAAGTTGATATAACAGCTCCATCCACGGCCCCACAGCTCAGCCAAGGCTCTGCTGCACTCCCATTC